TCCCCATAAGATTCACAATTGCTTTACAGGAAAAGCACTTGTACTTGAAAGAGAATTTACTTTCTGTAGCTCAAACCACAGAGGACTCACAAGACAGCTGTCTTCACAGGTGAGACTTCTTAAATGGGAGTTAAGTGCATGCATTTTCAAGAAACTAAACTCCCCTCATATATAATTTAACCTAGAAAAGAAAGCAAAATTGAGAGAGTAGTATGATTACATTGTTTGAGAACTGGTAACTTTACCTCCCCCAGTTTTATGGAAGTCATGCATGGTTTCACTGTCTGGCATATCTTTAAGGCTGTGGGATGTGGGCTAAGTGTGATATTGTAATAATAGTGAGGGCTTCTCTAACCATGGTTATGGACTATGGATTGAAATAGTAAATTATTCCTAGCAGACTGAATGGGCAATAAGACTGCTATTCTATTATCCTCATAAAACAAAGCAATAGATAAATAAAGGAGAGCCAACTCACTTAACCCATGTGGCTCTGTGCACCACTAACCATTAACCCAGGCACAAGAGAGGGGTTCACCGGAGTGTAGTTAAATCATTTTTTAATCGAGGTAAACACTGGCCATGTGAATGAGTAGCACTCAAGAAAGTTTTTAATCAGCAACGTTTAGGAATCACCTAGTCTAATTGCCATAACTTATTAATAATAATAATAAATAATCTAGTATTTTTATGGCCCCTGTCTCTGGAGGACTCAGTGCATTAAAGATCTCTAGGGTGTGAATCTCTCAGTAGCTGGGGGGAAGGGACAAGTATCCCTGGTTCTCATTCCTCACTGCAGAAATGGGATGTCAGGGCTAAGAAAGGCGAATCTGAGTTGTGTCCTTTCTCTCTTTTCTTCTTCCCACATGTGAATCACCAGCTCATACATGCCCTTTCATCTATCTATAGGACCAGAATGGTTCCGGGGGGGTGGGGGCTGAAGAACAGGCTTTTCTTTGTTCATGGGAATGATTGGGGTTGAGGTTGTCTCCCTTGGGAAGAGAGTCTGAGCAGAGCTTTGTCTGAAGGAGGTCACTTCTCTGCTCAAATGTCCCTAGTGCCTTTGGGTTCAACCTGATTGTGGTGACCAGTGGTCACTGGTGACTTCCGACTTGCGTGATTTCCAATTCCTGTGAGAGCAGAAAAGATGGCCGCGAGCCTTATTCTCAGAGCAGCAAATGGGATGGGGAAATGTTTCATAAATTATCGAACTTTATCTTCCCAATGCCATGGTGTGAATATTAGAATATGCCTAAGTCGTCGACAAGGAAAGTCAAGGTCAGAGGGTGAAGGTGACTGACTCCAGAATAAGTCTTGGTGGTTGCTTAGACTGAAAGGGGAATATAACACTTACGTTTGAGGCCCTCTGATTTTTATAAGAGGCTGCTCCATATGGTTTGGGACTCAAGAACACTGGAGGAGAGGGTGGTAAGAGCATTTCTGTGGCTGGTATCTTCTGATGTCTACGGTTTTATGTGGGATAAAATGTAGCCAAACTGCACAGAAACTACCTTCTTCTCACTTACATTCCCACTCTTCGGTCCGTGAATCATGAGCCTGAGCCTGGGTAGCTGTTTTGGTCTGGAAAAGTGATATTTTTAAAGAAGGCACTCAAGCCATTATTATACAGAGAAACACGATAAATGGTACTAAGAATAGCATGATTTATATCACAAACCATAAAAGCCATAAATTTAGAGTGTAAATTACAAGATAGCTCATGTGCAAAATTGTTGCAGTATTTATACTGGTGTTCATTAAAATTTACCTTTGAATAAAAAGGTGCACGATGTAAATGGGGTTGAAAAGGAGTTTTTGAAAAAAAATCTAAAATAGCCTATAGGAGTTTCTGAAATAGACGGTATGAACAGTACTCCTCACAGATTTGTCTGCCAAAGCCCGAAATATACAATAGAATCTGAAGGAATAAGGTCGCTAGAGCCGAGCCGGAATTTTCTTCCTGAACTCTGTCCACTGATACTTTCCAGTAATTCAAGTCAGGACTGAATCTCAAAGGAAGTGCTCCTTGTGAAAAGCTGCAGAGAGAGGAGGCTGAGGATTCTGGACGGATGTCGAGACTGGATCTGTATTTGAAAGACTAATTTTATTTCACTGATGTTTTCAAGGTTGGAAATTTTTGTCTGTATTCATTAGAGGGGAGTGATAAATCTCTAATTTGTACTTAGCTAATAATAGTGATGAGCTTTTGTGTTTCATTAAGGTTAAGTGAATCTCTGTCTTCCTGGCTCAGCTTTTACCTCCACATGCGACCTTGGGAAAATGATTTTAATCGTCTGGGACTCAGTTTCCTCATCTATAAAATGAGGGGGTTGGGCCAGAGGAGTGCTAAGACAGACCGTCTCTCTTGGCCTCCCTCCTGGGTGGGAGCCCCATGCCAGGCAGTTAGGACCCCCACAGGTGATTAAGACACATTGCTCTTGTCCTCAGGAGCTCATGATCTACATAAATAACTCATTATTAGATGAGCTATAATTGCAACATGCACAAATTGCTCTAGGAGCACAGAGGCAGAAACAGTGAATTTCTTCTCTGTGGGGAAAGACTTCACAGGGGCTGTGGCATTTGAAGCCTGAGTAGGAGGACTCTTCCAGGTGTGCAGGCTGGTCAGAGGGTGGTAGGCGGTTCAGACTGTGGGTTCCGGGAAGTAGACACATGTGAAAGTGGTATATTTAGGAAGCTGCACACGGCCCTCTTCACAATCTCTGGGCAGTGGCGTCCCACACACTGCTGCAGCAGAGTTTGTACTGATGATGAATTACCAAGGTTAGGGACTGGTGTATAACAGGTGTAAATTTGAGCAGCATCAAGGTTGTCCTGTGACGGTATCGATGCAGCCTGTTGGCTTTCTTGAGTGTGAAATAAATGGTAGTGTGCTGGCCAGTGCCCCGGGAGCTGTGAGCCTGCAGTCTGTTGTAGCTGCCCCATGGCCACTGGCCCGAATGTAGCCTTGGGAGCCTGTGTATAGATGTAAATTACACTTCTCATGAGAGTCACGTGTGTCCCAGAAGAATGAAACTGTCGCCATAGGTCTCTTCTTAGTGTGTGTGAACCCAGCAGGTGTGTGTCTCATCCATACCATTTAGGGATCCTTGGCCTTTGTGACCTGGTAGGAGCTGATGGTTCTGGTGACCTGGTGTTGAATGAGAGCAATGATGACAATAACTTTAGTTTTAATCTTTGGCTGGTTGTACATGTATGACGTATTCATTGTTAAAAATCAAAAGAATGCGGAAATGCTTATATAATGTATAAAAAGGCCCCTAATCCCATCTCCTGAAGATAAAATCAATTCTGTAACCATCATCAAAGATCTCTCTTCATGTACACAGGTACACAAATGGGCGCAGGACTGTATGTGCCATTTTTCTATCTGATGTTTCTATTTAAAAGTAATCAAAGTTCTTAAGTAATCATTTAAAATAGCTGCATAAGAGTCCATATTATTTTTGGTTTGAGTCCAGGGTTTTGGAAAATACAACATTTGCCATTATAAACAGTATCATGATGAACATCCTTGTAGACTTTTCATACTGTTAGTTATTTCATTAGATTGAAGTCTCCAAAGTGGTATTATTGAGTCAAGGAATGCCTATTTAACTTTTCTATACATAGTTTCCAGCTATCTTCTAGAACAATGATTTTCAGTGGGTGTGCCATGGGGCACACTGCTGTACTTTTAGAAGCTCTTAAGTGTGCCACGAAAATTTTTAAAGATCATTAATTATTTTTAAAAGAAGTTCAAAGCACAGCAAGTATATTCTTCTTTTACTTTTTTTTGATCAATATAATTTAAGTGTGCCATGGAAGTTAACTGTAGGTTGTAGTGTTCTGTGAGATAAAAAAAAAAAAAAAAGGTTGAAAACCACTGTTCTAGAAGTTTCGTACCATTTTACTACCCTACCATCAGGGCAGGAACCGCTCACACCTGGGGTGCTGTCTGTGTCTTTGCCAGCTCGCTCTCTGTCTTCAGCTTTCTGGATGAGAAAGTAGGAGCAGATGAGCATATGTTTGGGGTGATTGGGTGGGAGGGGGAGCCCAAATGCACATGGGGTATGTCAAAAGGTGCCTGACCTGTGTACATTTTTACTAAAAGAGTTGTGTGAAAATGTTCATCACAGTTTATAATCACCAAACGCTGAGAACCCAAATTTCCATCATCATTAGAATGGACAGGTAAGCTGTTGCATAATCCGAGTGGAATACTAGAAAGCAGTCAGCATGAATGAGCCGCTCTGTGCTACCAGGGGAAGGACTTTGAAAGAAGCCAGACAGGAAAACATCCATGCTGTACCAGTCCATTCACACAGAATTCAGCCCCAGGCAGGATGAATTTATGGTATTAGAAGTCATGCTCGGGGTTCCTGTTGGGGTCTGGGGGATGTTAGCGACTGGGTGTTTATGGTTTTCACTAGATCGATGTGTTCCAGTGCCCGACAGAGCGCTTGGCATGTAGTGGCCTCTTAAATCTTTGTTGAAAAATTAATATTTTTTCTCCTTTCTAACAGGCTTTGACCATGCTCGTTCCTTTGTGGCCTTGGTTAAGTTGGTTAACCTTCTGGGGCCTCAGTTTCCCCGTGTTTAAAATGAGAATGATAATTAAATCTATAAGCTTACTATGAAAATAATCTTAGTATTTATTAGTGATAACCACCAGTTTTTCTGTTTATTGTGTGCTGGGCACTGTTCTAAGCCCTGACAATATGTGTATGATGATGTATTTAATCTTTCTAATACTCCTGTCCATTTTATGGTTTAGAGAACTTATGTCACAGATATAGGAACCCAGGCAGTCACATTCTAGAGCCTGAGCTCTTAACCTCTGTCTCCTGAGTTGAAGGAAATATTGTAGCAAGAATGCTTGATACAGTTAGTCCATGTTAGCTGTGATTATCACATTGTCTTTTCAACATCAGTATTAATATATTTTTTTCTCTTTTTCTCTCTCCTTCCTCTCCCCAATGTTTCTTCTCTCCTGGCAGATGTGTTTCAGCAAGGTAAGTTTCATGATCTCCTGCCTGACTTTTCTGGTGGTGGTGGGGGACAAGGGTATCGTTTGTGTACAGAGACCTCTCTGTGGACATGTCATGCGGACTTTAGGGGACACCATGATGACAGTGGCCTGAAATGCCATCAGCCCTTCTGGGCCTCTCTTGTCCAGCCTCTGCTTCTTCCTCTGAGCCGCACTTGGGTCTATAGGGTGGAAACTGGGGTGGGACAGTGGGGCACTTGGGTCTATAGGGTGGAAACTGGGGCGGGACAGTAGGGGGAAGGCTCTGTGGCTGAGCCCCAGCAGGGAGAGGAGCATAGTGGGACTGGTGAGGCCCAGGTGTCTCTGGAGGAGAATCAGGAGGACAGCCCCTGTCTCTTGGGGTCCCATGTCAAGGCTGCTGCTTGGTCAGGGCCCACATCAGTGCCAGAGGAGGTTTCTTTGCCAAATAAGCATGTCCCTGTAGGGGAGGGTGGACAAGACCATGACTAGGTGGCCACTTTGTGCCCTTCAACCTGGCTGTGCCTGACAACTTCCCTGCTGGACTTGTGACAGGGCCAGCTGAAGGTGTACAGGGTCATCTCATCTGTTTTACCAGCAAGGTCCTGTGTTCCAGGGAACTGGAGACAGAATTCTAACCCCACATTGGGTCCTCTGGCCCATGTTTTAGCCCTACTTAAGATGCGTAGTCACTGTGCTCTGGGAAGGAGATGCGTGGGTCACAGCCTCCTCGTTGAACATTCTAGATACACAGGAAGGGGGAATTGTCTTTTTATTACAACTTGACACTACTGGGTAAAAGTGGCGGGGCATCACTGTTTGTATTCAAGCTGGGAAATATGTTTGTATCACACATCTGCTGCGTCTTTCTGGAATCCAAGGCTGGCTTAGAATAAAAAAGACTGGTTTAAAAATATATCCAGGCATTCCATAAATAGCTTCCAAATAATCTTACAGGCTTGATATTTTCACAACTGTTATTTCGCCCCAAACATGCAGCCTGCATCGGGGAGAGTATCTTCCTTCTCTGATAGATGCACAGTAGCCAGTAACAATGAGAGGACTGTCGCGTTGTCTTTTAAGAGTCTGGAGTCATAGACCTACCTTATAAATAATTCATAAATCTCAACAAGCTATAAGTAATAAGTTCCATTTGGCTAGAGACTAAGAGATGAGCAAAATTGAAAAGGTGTTTGACTGTCTGGTGTAATGAAAGCCCTGCCGCCAGGGCCCGTTGCTGCAGTGAGTTTTCTTCCTTGACAAATTGGGGGGTCAGCGGGGTGCTCTGGGAGGAGAATGTTATTTTTTTTTCTGTGAGCCAGAATGCAAGCACCACTCCACACTGAATTGGATTTCTCCTCTTGAAACACAAAACACATGGAAAGCCCGGGGTGTGTGTGCCGAGGCTCCTATGGGATGAGAAGGAGCCTCGTATCAGATCTGGCTCTTCTGCTTACAATGGTAAGCATTCTCGGTGGTTGTAATTGGCATAAAAAATGGCTACCACACGGCCTGTTGTCAAGATTACCTCCTTTTTTAATCAGTCATGCCATTCGATTGATGGGATTTGCCTGTCAGTAACAATGATATGCACAGCAAAAGTTATAATCATCTACAAATCACTGGCTATCGAGACTTAATAGCATCTGCCAGAGACGGAAGCCACTAGCTGCCCGTTGCCCTGTGTGACGGTGGGCGGCTGCTCCCTTATAAGATATTGCTAGGATTTCAAATGGAGAGAACTGAACTCACTTTTGTGAATTATTTACACAGCTCTGGCCTTATCAGACCATTTCATGGGGAGACACATTCTCTGAAATGATGGCAAAGAGATCGCCAGCTGGTACCTACTCCTTACCTTTGTTTCTGAGCACTCTGCTTAAAGAATATGGCCCAGTAAAAACGTTCAGCCGATGACGGTTATATCAGAGCAAGACAAAATGTTCTGTCTTAGAGACAGAATCCAAAACCATGATCTCCATGGTGCAGTTGAAACTTTGGGCCAGAATTGTGCCATTAACTCAAAACATGGGAGCGATGAATTGTGTTAGAAACCAGCAAGCAGAAAACTACGTGGTTTCATGTGAACAAGTTGCCCCTGGGTTGTCTTTGGAAGCCCAGCCACACAATGGCGACTTTGAGTGGCTCTGCCTTCCTGAGCACGTCGGGGGCATCCGGCCCTGCTTGCTTCGGCTTGGCCAAGGAGTCACGGGGGGAAATACGGCTTTGCAAATGTGTGCTTCAGGAGGTGAGGGAGGGAGCACTGCCCAGAGGAGTCTCTGACTGTTCAGGCTGCTGTGCACCCCGGCAGGCAGGAGAGGGAGGCAGGCTTGCAGTTGACAACATCAGACATTCTCCCAGGAAACAGAAGTTATTTCCTCTGGATTGCATTATCTTTTATTTCACTACAGATCAATCTTGTTATAGTAGGTGACAGCACAGCAGATACTGCTGGGCTTTTCTCTGCTGTATCGCAGTGCGTGCATGCAGGAGTGTGTGTCTGCCTGGCTTCTGTGCCATTTTATATCTTCTTTCTGTTCTTTCATCTGTAAATGCCACTTGCTGTGACGCTTAGACCACAGGGTCTGAGGACGGTCAAGGACCAGTGGGCCTGCAGCTGGGCCTTTTTAAATAAGAGTTCTAGGGCCACAGGGCCGTGTTTTCAAGGAGCTTTAATTGACCTACATTCCCTGTTGTCCACAGAGCTCATGAGCCATTGGGCGGCTCTCAGGAATTCCAGAGTGCCATAGAATTGCTCCTCTCAACAGCAAATGCAATTGAAAATGCTGTATATGCACACGTGTCTCGAATCTCCAGTTTCTGAGCACTTTTATACCAATCGTTTAATAATGATGAAGTCGGGACCACACACACCCACAAACACTACGCCTCATTTGAAGTTACTGACGCTCCTTTTGAATGCTCATCCATAGCCTCAACCTTGATTCTGAAACTTAACAGCGGCTTGGAAATCAGAGCGGTACCACTCAGCAGAGTGTTTTAAAGCATAAGTGGGCACAGCATAAAGATTTCACCACTGAGTTTATTATCTGTGTGTTGTTAACTGAAGTCCCTTGAAGAAGACTCTGAGCCCAAAGAGACATAGCCTTCCCTCCTCCCTAGTTCTCAACTGGATCCAGGATCTTGTTAATGGAGAGATTGTTCTTCTAGCTCAAGTAATTCGTGGTCCCTATAAACACACCATGTTTATGCTGCGAACGGTAAATGCATATATGCAAAGCACTTGCTAGGCCTGGAGAATAAAGTGAACGAGATAGCTAAGGCCCCATCCTCGTGGGACTTACAGTCTCCTTCAGGGGTAAGTGAAGATGGTATCCGGAGGTAATGGGCTAGTGGCCAGGAGAGCCACTTTAGATGGAGTGGCCAGAGAATGACGAGAAGGACCAAGTGTTGGAGTGTCATAAGGGAAAAGCCTGCTAGGCCAGAACACCCTGGTGCTCCAGGCTCAGACGGAGGCCTGGGGTGTGGCGGAGCACTAGCAAGATGGAGGGAATTGGGTGACAGGATCAAGGAGAGTAGGGCAGGCCTGCAGTCCGGGAGCAGAGGAAGGGAGTCCGAAGTGGGTCTGAATCAGAAGAGTGGCACAGTCCTACTTAACATTTGACAAAACGAATAAGCACTCAGGGACCAGGGCTGAGTGCTGAGGGGGCTCAGGCCCTCACTGCCTTAAACACCCTAATCTATCTGCAGCAAGAATGGCCTCTGATCTCCGATTGGTGGCCAGTGCTTAGGAAACCTCAGTTTTGCTTCCTACAAGGTTGCCGCCTTTGTGGAGGGAGCTTGGGCCGGGTGCTTAACCTCTGGCATCAGTTTTCTCCTCTGGAACATGAGAGAGTTGGAGAAATCCCTGGCCCTGCTCGGCTTTGTCCTGCTGGTCTATCTTGAGAAGTTCTAGGTGGATTTGAGTTAACAGAGTAGGGACATGCCCCTTGCACAGGTTGTGGCTCTTCTTTGGATAACTTGGGTGAAAGTGGAGGCTTCCCTCATGGCTGCAAGTTAGTTACAACAATGTGGTTTCAGAAGTGAAACGTACGTGGCCATTTTGAAACATCAGCTCTTTCCCACATGGATTAAGTACTAGAATTCACAATGGATGGCATTGCTTTTATTAACTTGAAGTGAACAATAAATCATAGTTTGGTTTCTGGCAGCCTGGCCAAGCCTGTAAACCGTTGGGGTGGGTTTGTGGTGACGTGGGCCTGCTGCCATTTATAATGAGCTTGACTTGAGCTCTTTTGCATATTTCAGACTTATGGGTCAGCTTGCTGGGGCCGGATTTTAGGTTTTCCCAACCTCTTCTGAAAACTCGATCTATCATCAAGCTATCATGCCCCCTTAGCCAGGAATTATGGCCCCCCAAAAATGTTTTACATTATGAAAGACTGTTTTCTTTTTGAGTGTAGGATTTGGGCAAATGAATTAAATCTGTTGTTTACTGTTTCCACGTAAACATTCCACGTTGTTACATGATGATAGCTAGTAAATGAGGACAGTGTATGGGTTCGCACTTTCATGGTGGAAAGTGATTGGTTCCCTGGTCACACTTCCTAAATGCAACTGTGTATGTGTATCAACTCCCCCTTCTGCCCATTCTGTCTGGAATCAATAGAATATTCGGATTCACATAGGAAAGGCATTTATCCTTCCAGCAGAAACCAAGCAACATTACCATTTAATTTTACATAGGTTCACTTGGCGCGTGCTTGTGTGTGTGAGATGTACAGGGAAAATGATAACCTGATTTAAATAATCACATTCTCTGAGGTGCTTTATTACATTCCATGTGGCTGTGCAGGGCTGCTTGTTCCCTGCCGGGGGACCTTGGGGTGGATCTTTGCTTGTGGCGGATTCACTGTGTGCCCACTCCAAGTGAAGGGCATGAGTTTGTAGTGAAGTTTGGGTGTTTTTTTTTTTTTTGTCTCCCCCACCACTAGCTTGTGTTTCAAAATTGCCAGATCAGAAGAAGGGAGAAACTTAGATTCTTTT